CGAAATATGCACGTGTATTAACAGATAACGGTTTCGTTAACAATCAAACTCATAATGGCTTTAATCGTACTTATCATTTCAATCGCTCAACGCGTTCTCATTCAGTGGATAATTAATTTCAAGATTGGAGAACATCTTACAACAACAGTGCGACAAAGGCATACATAATAGAACAAATCCGTTTTTTATGACACGGTTATAAGCTGTGTTTTGCCATGAATAACAAACAAAGAATGGCTGGGTTCTTGTAACCAAGTGGAATGCGAGTTTTGTGCGAGTTTCTCGATCGTGCGTGCCATTCGAGAGTTGTGCGAGTGTTTTAATAATAATATAGGTATTTATCATAATATTATAATAGAATGCATGTGCGATGTGTGTGAAGTGCGAGCGTTATGCGAGTGTCTGAAGCGTGTCCTGCAAGTGTTGTGCGAGCGCCTTACGTGTTGTGCGACCGTTATGCGTGTGTTTGAAGAATGACGTGCGAGTTGTTCGAGTGCTGTGCGTGTCGTACGAATGTTTCATGAGTGTAGAGCTGGCCAGAAATCTCTGAAGTGGAACATATTACTATAATTCGTTTAATTTCAATGTCCATTTGGAAATTTAGCTTTACTTTTTTTTTATTGATTTAACGTGCTCCATGAATAATCATCGATTTAAATGAATTATGATTGAATCGGTTTGATCTTTAATTGCTTTATTTGTCAAATCCATTTCCTAATAGAATTAATCATAACATTCATAATTTGTTAAGGATTTTAGCATTTATTTTGACATCAATCTACTTGTTTCTTTCTTATTAAGAATTATTATTTTTTTCATGGACGTGAAGTAATTTTGTTGAGGAATTGAGTGATAATAAAAGGAGATCAGTAAAAGTATTTGGTTAAACCTTAAGCGGAATATATATATGTCTGCAAACGTTATTTAATGTTTTTTATGTAATTCTTATCACCAACAGAAAAATATAATACGCACGTGCAGCTACCGGCAAACTAATAGGACATTTTATATTTATAATTATCAAAGCTAATATTATTAATATTTAATTAGATATAATTAATACAAACGCAATAATAATATATAAACCTATATTGATTTAAAATTAATGTAAATAAAATATAAATAAATTTAATAAAATATGAGTAATAATAATTATAGTGGTACAAATTATAACAGGTTAGGTAACGTAAGCCTCAACATGCTTTACAATACATAATATATATGTCGCAAACC